GCTGGATTGTCGATGGGTCCCCCACAGCTCAAGAATCTTAAACACAATAGCTCAGAATGTCCTCACTAGTCCTCAACCACAGATAGAATTGCTAGCCTTAAAGATGACGCATCACTGTTTACAGCGAGTCTGGTTGCTTTAAAGGAGATAGATTGTCCTCTCCACTTGGGATATCTGGGATGCTTAGCCAGGATCCATAGTTCTAGAAACTCTTCTAGGTTGCGTTCCTAGTTGAGACACTGCTTAGCCCTCTGGAAAGATCAAGGAGAGAGCTCGTTGCGTTCCTCACATTTTGTTTCTCAAGAATCCTTGGTAGTAAAAAAAAAAGAAAAAGAAGAAAGAAAAGGATCCTTGGCAGCATGAACAAATCGTCTTGGACCTGCCATTGACTTCTGCAAAAATCATACACTTTTCAGGGCATACCTTTTAGACATTATTATTATTTGAAAATAATTCTATTAACTTTAAATTTTATTTTTATAAATGTGTAACAGAAACTGAATGAGGTCAAGTTTTTAGGGTAGTTGAAAGAGGCACGCCCAATTAGCTCTTTCACTCAAAAACAACTTGGAAATATTTACCTCAGAAACAACACGCCCTCGTGGGTTTCTTAGGTCACTGTCTTACTCATAAATATTTCCTTAGCGGTCACTGTTACTTCTTTTCAACCGCACTCGAAAGGAACATCAGTAAAGAGCAAGCATCAGAGCAGCTTTTCATTTTATCCACACTTTAGATTTGGGTGTCAGTGTGTAAGAGGAGATTTTACCCTGCCCTCGGGGAGTGAGAGGCACGGCACTGCTTTTTGGTGGAGATACACCTGGGCACATTCTATAATGCAGGCACTTTTAAGAGCAGCCCCACCCAGTCCAACTTCTTCCAACCACTGCGCACAAAGACATATAGTGGGTTTGGGGGTTGTTGTTGTTGTTATTTTGATATGGAAATGGCTTGATTGATGTCCTACTTTTTTTGTGGTTTTTTTTGTTGAAAAAAGGATGGAAACCCTTATTTTCAAATCTTTTATAATGCTAATATACACCTAGTTTTAGCCAACACATTTTGGTTTTGTGGATCATAGAACCAGGCTACTGCAAAGCAACAAAGCTAAACAGAAAGTATCTGGTGACGAGAAGCCAGGTCAGCTATAGATTTCCCACAGGTTCATTCTGTCATATGTAAGATCATTGTGAGTTGCAGAGAACGGGATGGCCGCTAACAAGAACAACACAAGTTGAAGGGGAATTTGAAATGTTCTATATTGTTCACCTGCGTGTGATACCAAGGAAACTGTGAAAGAAAGAAATGAAGTACTTCAATCAGAGTTCAATTGTTATGACCCTTTTCTACCTAACGCACACACACAGCCTAGGTCAAAGAGCTGGCCGGCAGCATCCCGCCAGCTTCCCCCAACTTCCTCCTCCTCCTTCCACCCCAGTCCCTGTTCCCTACAGAGCATATCTGCGTGTGCTCTTGCTGCCCCACTGTACCACGGGTAACAACGAGTTGCCGTGGAGTGGACTCTAAGTCCTGGACATCCAGGTGTTTCATAGGGTTGTCGATGTCCACTTGGTCAGAAATGACTGTCTGGATCCTTCTTTTGAAGTGTGTCTGGGTGGATTCAAACTTACAGCTTTTTACTTAACAATTAAGCCTATTAACTCTATGTACCATGTAGGGTCTGCATCCTTAAAATAGGCTATAGTTTTAGTGCCCCTTAAATTTTGCTACACAGGGAGCTTTCTTCTGAGATAATTGGATCCATGAATTGCTTACTGACCTTTGGACCAGGACTGGTTCGAGAGAGAAAATGTTGACAGTGAGTGACACTGTGGACTTCGCTCTCAGCCACCCTGTAGCACGTATTATTCTCACTAGGATGCTGCAGTTATGTCTCAGGGAAGCAAGTGTTCATTAATTTTCATTTTCCCTTAGTGATAGTAGATATTTGCCCTTGGGGAATCTTATTTGTTTGGCAGTGTCTTTAAAGGCATTTAGAAACCATTTGTGGCTGTGCGCTCTCTTTCCTTGTTAATGGGTCATGAATTTTTACAGAGACGCTTGAATCATGGCTCATTTACCTCTAGATTGTACAAGGGTTAGTGAAGTAAGCACTTGGAAACCGATGTGGGGTTGTGTTCCATAGCAAAACATATAATCCCTTCCGGCCTTTCAATGATGTTTTGTATTCCTGAGAATGTTTTAATGGCAACTGGGATCACTAAGCTACAACAATCTTCCCCACTTTCTTCCCATATTCTTCCCATGTGATACTTTCACTTATAAGTCAAAGGGAGCAAGTTTAATGGCTAATTATCCTTGCTGACAGCAAATAAACTGGTTAGAATGCCAAACTATATCAAGAAGTCTCCCAGTAGATTCAAATACTATGCAAAGCACAGCAGTAATACTATCTGACCATATGGGGTGGGAGCGGAGGGTGGGGGAAGTGCAGAGAAATAACCTAGAGGAAGTACTGTGCGAAACTTGCCAGAAGGACTTCAGGATCTACATGATCATTATATGGACTTGAATGACTGGAGACCTTGAACCAAGACATTAAATGACTTACTCTTGGTATTTCCACCTAGCCTATAGCTTTTTCAGTGATTAAAATCCAGACAAACCAGAAGATTATGATCTGCTCAGATTTGATCTACAAAAGAATGTCTTGTGATGATTCATTGCTTTTAGTTATGCCTATGGCAAGACTAGGTATTTTGTCTGGCATTTAGAAATATGGTGTCTTATATTTTCAACTTGTGGGTCGTGACCTCATTGGGCTGGAAGACCCTTTCACACATATTTCCAGTGGTCTCAGGAACTGAGACACCGCTCCACTCTCTTGTCTTCAGGTGGGTCCGCCCACGTGCAGGTACGCCCACTTATGAGTACCCGGCCTGAAGGCTGTTACCCATGCTACACCATACTTCAAGACAAAATTTCATTTATTTGTCATTAGAAATAAATATTTCACAATATATAATGACATACTATTTTTGTGATAATCACTATGCTGTAATGATGTTCAATATGTAACAATGAAAATACGTCCTTCATGTCATATATTTACATAGTGATTCATAACAGTAGCAAAATTAGTTCTGAAGTAGCAACGAAAATAATTTTATGGTTGGTGGTCACCACATCCTGAGGAACTGTATTAAAGGGTTGCGGCATTAGGAAGGTTGAGAACCACTGTCTTATAAATTGAAGTTTGTATATGCCCCATACACATAGTTGTATGACTGTTGTCTTTACTAGCAATGGACTTATTCTGAATTCACTGAGCTGTATGTCACTCTTAGGGTGTACCCTATCACTCTCCATCAGTAACGGACCCCACGCTCACTGCGGACGCTCTGGACAAAACCATCGCAGAATTTGATACCGTGGAGGATCTGCTCAAGCACTTCAACCCAGAATCGTGGCAAGAAGACCTGGAGAGTCTGTATTTGGACACCCCGCATTATCGGGGCAGGTCGTACCATGACAAGAAGTCAAAAGGTAAGAGACATGGCTGAGGGTCCTTTGCAAGCAACTTCTGTTAGGCACTGTCCAGTCCATTCTGACTCACAGGAGTATAGCTGCCTCCCACCCCCCGCCCCATAGGGTTTCCTATGTTGTGAATTTTATGGAAACAATTCACCTGGTCTTTCTCCTATAAAACTGATGGGTCAATTCAAACCACCCGGGTTTCAGTTAGCAGCTGAAGTGATTAAAAACCAGGGGCATTCGTTATGGGCAAGGACTAGCAATGTAACATATTTTCTATAAATCAGATGATACTTCCGATCCATTACCACATATATTTGTCCAAGTCCTCACATGAAGTTTTGTGTTTTCCCCAAACTATGTTGTTTGGGACTAAAAAAGTTTGGTTGTCAAAAATGTGTCATATTTTGGAGCTATAAGCTTCTTCGTTTTAATAAACTAAACCATTAGTAGCCCCAGTTTAACAGTGGAGGGAAAAAAAAGTTGAGGGAGATAAATACTTTGCCAAACGCTGCACAGCTTTGAACAGTGGGAATGAAAACTGTGACCTCTTGCCCTTAGCAGCAGTACTTGTGAAAAAACCAAACCAAAAAACAAACAAAAACCAAACATAGAGATATGAAGGCTGATTTAGCAGAGGACTCGTCAACTGGCATGAGAGAAATGACAGAATCCTGTTGCAATGATTGAAATCCTGATTGGAGATTTCAGCTCTACCCAAAATCTACTTTTGAAATCCTTTGCAAGCACTGATTACCTGATTGGTGGAGTCCCTGGGAAGCTGAATGGTTAACACGCTGAGCTGTTAATGAAAATCTACCCCCAGGTGGAAGAGAGTTCTGTCTGTCTACTATCCTTCTGACAAATCGTCCTTTGAAAACTCTATGGAGACAGTTCTACTCTGACACAATCAGAATTGACTCAATGACATTTTTCTCTGCCACATGCTCTAGGTAGCTTCAAGGATAAAAAAGTTGCAAATAAGAGGTAAAAATGGGCTAGGAGCTATCTTCAAGATATAGTAAAAGCACACATTCAACCGGAAGTCTGGCAGCCATCAGGAGGTTAGAAGAGACAACATCCAAGCAGAGTGAAGATTATGAGTCAAAATGATAACGTACTCTTAGCAATAAATACCTGAAATGTATATCAGAGGTGGTTATTTTATGAGAGTATTTATTTGAATATTAAGTAAATAAATAAATAGCCTCTTATGGAGTACAGCTATGTCTAGTCTGTTATAGCCTTACTTTATTTGCTAAGAGTTGTTATTTTAATTTTTTCTCTCTCTCTAAAAAGTCTTGTAAAGCTATGCTAGGTGTAGAGACACAGGTAGCCTACAGCTTGTTTTCTGCACTTTTCAATATCAAGGGTACTTTAAAGAACTGCACATTGGGCCGAGTTAGCAGATAATGTTTCCTTTGTTAAGTAAGCACAACTGATTAGAATATTTGAGCCAAAATGACTAGTAAGTTAACTCCTACCAGAACCTTCTGCTTATGGCTCAGGTTATAAATCTCACGTAATTAAAACACATAGCTAAGTGAGTGGGGGCAAGAGAGTAGATGTAGGCCACAATGTCTTAAAGATATGCCATGTACAGAGCATTGTGACGCTCAAGCTGAACCTCCCCAGAAGAGACCGCTTCTCTGTGAAATGATGCCAACGTTGGTCAAGTTTACAGGAACGTAAAATATGCACATTTTTTAGTATCCCTCAAAATGTTAAGAATGATATTGAGTAAACAAGCAATCAAATCTGACTTATCTTCCAGAAATTAACCGCTACAACTATTTGAGGGAGAGCCCTTTTTTTGCACTTATTTAAAATCAACTATTTCCCCCCCCCCCTTGGAAATTCGGTTTCACTGGAACCAGGGACCTGGATTCAAATTCCAACCCTGCCTACCATTGACAAATGTGATGATTGTTCAACAGGTCACTACCCCTTTCTGACCCCCAGTGAACTGACCTGTAGACTGTGTATAACGACCATGTCAGGAACTGTTGGCGGATCAACCAAGAACAAGTGACACATAGTACTTTTACAAGAAGTGGAGTCAATTCCAATTCATTGTTGTGCCAGATGATGGAGCAGAATTGTCCTATAGGGTTTCTTATCCTTCTAATATTTATTAGGGAACCCCAGTGGCAGAGTGGTGATGAGTTCAGCTGTGATCCACAAATCATCAGTTCAAAACCACCAGCCTCTCCTAGGAAGAAGAATTGACTTTCTACTCCCATAAAGAGTAGCAGTCTCAGCAACTCAGAGGAGCACTCCTACCCTGTCCTACGGGGTCACTGTGAGTCAGCATGGACTCAATGGCATTGTGTTTGTTCTATTTTGAGTTTTAATCTCTTTTGGAGCCTGTCCCTAGGTCTTTCTCCCAAGGAACGGATGGTTAAATTCAAACTTCCAACCTTTCAGTTAGCAGTCAGGTGCTAATTAATGCACAGCCATGGCTCTTGGAGGTCACCAGAACCAAACCCCACCCACCTCACACCGGTGGAGTCAATGCTGACTCATAGTGACCCCTCTGGGTTTCCCAGACTCCCGGTGTACAGGAGTAGAAAGCCCAGTCTTTCTCTCTCGGAGTTGCTGGTGGTTTCAAGGTGCAGACTGTGTTGATAGCAGCCCGATGCAAAACCGCTATGCCAGTGGGACTCCCGTAAAACTCGTATAGTGACTTAGAATTCCGATTCCTGCTCTGTAGTGCTTCTCTGGTGAAGCTTTTCTTGTCCTCTCCCTGGGATGCAAAACCTCCGCAAGCCTAAGGGTCCTGGAGACTCTAGAGCTCCTCGTCTGTGCCATCACGGCATTGTTAATACATCTGTGTGTGGCGTCTTAGATAAGGTGAGCATTTAGACCTTCATAAGTGCCTTAATCCTGGCTGACTATTAGAATCAGCTGATGCCCAGGTGCCACCCTAATCAAATTCAGTCAGAGTCTGGGGATGAGACGGAGGTAATGGTGTTTTATTCCTGGTCCCAGTTCCTAGGAGATCAATGCTAAGAAGCAGGTGAGACTGAGAGCCACTGTGTTAGAAGATGTTCATCTTAAGTCTCTAGCACTTAGCACCTTGTAAATGCTCATTTAACGTGCATGTGGAATTAAAACCAGGAACTATGACTAATGTGTTTCTCAAGTTCACAGAAACTTTCCCAGAGACTTAGGGTAGCTCCATTAAGAATGTCTCAGGTTACTGGAATAACCTTGCAAGAGCATCCGAGGTGATGTGCTACTTATTTGTGACAGAGTAAACATCAGTCCTCTCTCCTGTGGCTAAGTTCCATTTCTTAATCTCTTGTTTAGAATGGCCTTAAGGCAGATTGGCACTGTTTCACTTAACCCTGCCAGGTCACCACTATCTCTGCATTTGTTTAAATGTACTGATTTAATTGCTTATCATTCCATGCATGCTGAGTCACCTGCCTGATCAGAAAGATTCTTTCATATTTCAGCTGTCATTTTCTGTTTTCAAAACACCAGGAAGCAGGCATGGATCTGAAAAGAGAACTTGTCACAACTTGTCAAATTCAGTATGAACTTCAAAAGATCTATAACAAAATTTCTTACTATCAGGATAATTCATTGTTGGTGCTATACAGAAATCAGCTTACTATTTATTAATATGGATTGAGCATCTTTTCTTCCCATTTGCCTAAATTAATCAAAAGTAACAATATTCATGGTTCCAAACCGTGGAAATGCACAATGGACTATGAATAACTAATGCAAAACACAAATACACTTGATTGAAGGACCGGATGTCATGAAGCAAAAACCATTACTATATCAAAATTAAACTTTATTCTGCTTCTACTGCTTATTTGTCAAAAAGATAGGTCAGCTGACAGCATTTATGAGTCTCCTCAAAGGTTGAAAATGAGAAGCAAGTGAAAAAATAAAGGTGTGGGCAGAAGAAAGAAAAGAGAGAACATCGACAAGTATTAAAAGCACAACTTTGACATATAAGCCCTATTTTTTTTAATTCCCAAGTGATAGACAGGCTCAAACTTGTCTGGAAAAGCTTCTGGACTGAAGATAATATGACAAGTTCATATATCCAACTTTCAGTTCCTAGGGGGGGAGGGAGGAAAGGGTTGCATGCATAATTGAAATCTGTAGATAATCTAGTTCCAATGCCCAAGGACGTTCAAGCTTGTGTTTCAACCTGACAGCTGCCCCAGAGTTAACATACAAAGAAAGAACCTTCTCACGTTCAAGTTTCAGTTACTGCATGTTGAGTACTGAAAATCTGCCCCAAATTTGATAATATTATAGAGCTTCTATTTAAATTACCGAATCCCAATGTGAATCATTACGTGGTTACGGTGGACTTGGCGTAGTGGTTACATGTTGGGCTGCTAACCATAAGGTGAGTGGTTTGAAACCACCAGTCCCTCTGCAGGAGAAAGACGAGACTTTCTACAGCTTCTACATCCCCTAAGAGTTACAGTCTCAGAAATTCACAAGAACATTTCTACTCCCTGTGCTGTAGGATTGCTGTGAGTCCGCATTGACCTGATGGCAGTGAGTTTGGTAGCTTATTTTATATATTTATGTATTAACAGTGTTATTAGCATATAATTCCCATCATATAATTCAATAGGTTAGTCATATTAAAAGAGTTGTATTATCATCTCCACTATCTGTTTTGGAACATGTTCCTCTTTCTTCTACTCCTTGTTATCAGCCCCCCATTGCCCCTCAACCTTTCCTTCCACCACCACCCAAGAAATCATCAGTGCAGTCACTGGCTCTATAGTCTTACATATCCTGGATTTCGTATAAGGAAAAGTATGCAAAAGAAAAAGCTGATTGTTCTCTGCATGATAGCAAGGCTATTCATGTCCTGAGTGTATATTCAGAGAGGATTCACCAGAGGCTTACACCATGTGTAGACCCTGTGAATGGATTTTGGACTCCTACTGTCATATGTAGCCTTCTGCAGACCAGGTGTTCATAATTTAAACTCTGATGCCATTCTGTCCTTCAAAGTTGGATACCCA